GGAAGCTCTCGAATGACGCCGTCGTCGGATGTTTCTATGAGGTTTAATTCGCTTTCGACACAAGACAATTTTTCTTATGAATAAATAGATTAGTTTCTTTTATCAAAAAACTTTATTTATGCAAGTAATATTTATTGTTGGCAAGAAAAATTTTGTGACTCTTTAAAAACTTTTAAATTTTGTAAATTGTAATTTTTGGCTCTTCCGACTCAAAAGGTTGCCGACCCCTGCACTAGAGGCATCACCTTCAATTTACTTAATGTCTTTTCACAATATATTCTTAAAAACTTTATGATTTACTATTAATGCCAATCTGAATGGTATTTTTATTAATTAATTTATAGCCATAACAAAAACTTGTGTTAAATATAAAAAAATCTGTAGAGTTCTTAAAATGATTTTGCAGCTTTGACATTTTCTACATTGAATGGTTAATTTTGAAAGCATGTGTGTGTTCTTCAGTTTAAAATTAATCACTTTTCTTTGAACTTCATAGCATGAAAAATTATATATTGAGAAATACCCATATTATGAAACAGATTGTTCAATATATACTTATTTTTGGGCTTTTCCAAATAAAAACTCATTTTCTACATTTTACATTTTGTTTTATGTACTTGTGAATGATTCATATGGACACATTTAATAACATTTATTTACAAAATATCAATTTTACATTTGTCCGAACTTTTAGCTTTAAAATGTAATATTCAAAAAATATGTTACTTGATTGTTCAAAGCTTTTCATGACAATTGGAGAGATTTGAAAATATTTAGGTTAAAAAGTGAATTTTTTCACAATTATTTTTATTTTGAAATCTAAAAAATCTTTGGTGGTTGGTTATATAGTTTTATTGAAAATATATGTTAACTAAAATTTATCGGTTATAAACATTGATTTGATTTGATTTAACATTTTTTCAAGTTATACATATTGTTTTTTTTTTCAAAAGTAATAATACTATTAACTACATCAAAAGCAATTACTGCAGTCATTTTAATATCTTAGTTGGAATTCAAGATATATATATTAATATAATTCTTTATTATTTTCTGATATAATTCTGTACATATTTTTATGCTCTTCACTAATTTATCTAGGTTCAATTTGCAATAATCTGTGCAGTTGAATAAGATAATTAATCTGAATTTAATCGAATTAAATCCTGAGACTTTCATACATTTTTAAATATTTAAACAAGAAAATTCAGGAGCATTTTTACCAAATGTCTAATGATTAACTTTGTGAATGTATCTTGTTTATCATAATAAGCCTTGAATGTTAACACCATCATTCTTTGGGACAAACCAGCTTTAATTACTTTTTAAATTTTGTTATAAATAACTGCAATTTATTTTGAATTTAAAAAATGCTTGACTTATGCTGTTGTTTCATTTACATTTGTTATTGATCTGAAGATGGGATTATCTTATCCAAAAATATATATCAAATTAAAATCTTTTGCTCCTAACACTTTTTAGCATTTTATCACAAGATAAAATGCTGAAAAAATTGCTTTGTCTTTGATCAGTGTGGAATAATGGAGTTGATTATAGTTCACTGAAAAAGTTTAGTTGGCTTAAAAATAGGATTTAATTACAGAATTATTCAATTTACTTTATAGATCCCTCTAGATAAAAGATTAATTGTAAGAGAAAAAGTCTTTATTTTAATCAAAACATTATTTAACAATATTGAAATATAGCCACCATGGGCAAATGCAGCTCTTTTTGAATTACATGCGGCTCTTGCTTAAAGTGTTAATTTCTGCTTTTTATTTTTATTATTACAATTTTATTTCCACAATTTTGTGAAAATATGTTTATTAAAAAAATTCAATATTTGTTTTATATAATATTTATATTATATAATAAAATCGCAGTACAGAACTGCAGTACAAAATAAAAAAAGTACAAAACTGCGGCTTCCATGCATTTTGCAAAACCTACATTTCGGCTCCCACTGACCTCTTGCTGAAATATAGATTGATTGATTGCAATTAAGGCATCAATATTGCTTGATAAAATTATGCACATTTTTTTAAACTTAATTTTTATTAAATTTTTTGAATTTAGATTCTGTTGAGTTAGTAGATACATCAGAATCATTACCTGGCTTAAAGACATCTCCTGGTCTCAGTTATTGGAAAGTAATGAATAGAGAATTAGAATCTTTTGATTCCTTTGATGATGTCCCAGATAAATATCGAACTCAAATACGTCCACAAATGTTTCCACCTGCTCCTGAAATTGTCTCAAAGTTAAATTTGCATAGATGGTAAAATTTTTCTAAATATTTATCAATTTTACAAGTTTGTTTAATATTTTAAAATATTAATATTTTTCTAACAGTCTTCGCATATTACCACATCATCAGAACACAGGTGGATTTTTTATAGCTGTATTTAAAAAAGTCAAAGAATTTTTACCATGGGAATCTCAGATAAAAGAAATAGTTTCTCATAAAAATAATGACATTGAAGAAAAATTGTCAGGTAAGTAAATTTTAATATCTGATATAAAAATTATATGTTAATAAGTTAAGGTTTATGATGAAATTTTTTACATTGTATCCAAGTTTATTACTTAATAGTTTTCTGATGACAAAAAATAAATAATTAAATGTTATCAAATGTAATCATTATATATTGTAATGTCTGTAATGCTTTTTTCTATCTAATAAACTGCACAAATCTTTACAGTTTACACAGTTCTAAAAAGCACATGATTTAGGATTCTAGTCTTGACCCTTACTTTTTATTTATTTCTTCTCAAAACAAATTTTTTTTTACAAAAAATGATAAAATTTACTTCTCTTTCTTTCCACTAGAGCAGGGGTCGGCAACCTGCGGCTCGCAAGCCACATGTGGCTCTTTGGATGTGAAGCTGTGGCTCTTTAGTTCCATACGCAAATATTATTTTTTTTATCAAAAAAAAACATTTAAAAATCATTCTGAATCGATTAACGAGGATTAGGCGCCGATTCTATCTCTCAGCCACTTGTATTCGCTTTTCACTGCACCCCTCCCCCGTGACACGTGTCGTCACTGTCGTCAGTCACCGTCGGAAGCTCTCGAATAACGCCGTCGTCGGATGTTTCTATGAGGTTTAATTCGCTTTCGACACAAGACAATTTTTCTTATGAATAAATAGATTAGTTTCTTTTATCAAAAAACTTTATTTATGCAAGTAATATTTATTGTTGGCAAGAAAAATTTTGTGACTCTTTAAAAACTTTTAAATTTTGTAAATTGTAATTTTTGGCTCTTCCGACTCAAAAGGTTGCCGACCCCTGCACTAGAGGCATCACCTTCAATTTACTTAATGTCTTTTCACAATATATTCTTAAAAACTTTATGATTTACTATTAATGCCAATCTGAATGGTATTTTTATTAATTAATTTATAGCCATAACAAAAACTTGTGTTAAATATAAAAAAATCTGTAGAGTTCTTAAAATGATTTTGCAGCTTTGACATTTTCTACATTGAATGGTTAATTTTGAAAGCATGTGTGTGTTCTTCAGTTTAAAATTAATCACTTTTCTTTGAACTTCATAGCATGAAAAATTATATATTGAGAAATACCCATATTATGAAACAGATTGTTCAATATATACTTATTTTTGGGCTTTTCCAAATAAAAACTCATTTTCTACATTTTACATTTTGTTTTATGTACTTGTGAATGATTCATATGGACACATTTAATAACATTTATTTACAAAATATCAATTTTACATTTGTCCGAACTTTTAGCTTTAAAATGTAATATTCAAAAAATATGTTACTTGATTGTTCAAAGCTTTTCATGACAATTGGAGAGATTTGAAAATATTTAGGTTAAAAAGTGAATTTTTTCACAATTATTTTTATTTTGAAATCTAAAAAATCTTTGGTGGTTGGTTATATAGTTTTATTGAAAATATATGTTAACTAAAATTTATCGGTTATAAACATTGATTTGATTTGATTTAACATTTTTTCAAGTTATACATATTGTTTTTTTTTTTTCAAAAGTAATAATACTATTAACTACATCAAAAGCAATTACTGCAGTCATTTTAATATCTTAGTTGAAATTCAAGATATATATATTAATATAATTCTTTATTATTTTCTGATATAATTCTGTACATATTTTTATGCTCTTCACTAATTTATCTAGGTTCAATTTGCAATAATCTGTGCAGTTGAATAAGATAATTAATCTGAATTTAATCGA